TGAAAGTGTATAAACTAAGGGAGGAGGAAGTTCGGGTGAAATATAAGCAACTATTGGCAGAAAGGTGGGCTGGTGCAGGTATGAGTAGTGGGGGGGTTGAAGAGGGTTGGAATAGTTTTAAAAATGCAGTATTAGAATGTGGGGCAGAAGTTTGTGGTTATAGGAGGGTGGGGTGAGGGAGGAAGAGGAGTGATTGGTGGAATGACGAAGTAAAGGGTGTGATAAAAGAGAAAAAGTTAGCTTATGAGAGGTATTTACAAAGCAGAAGTGTTAAAAGAAGAGTAGAGTATATGGAGAGTAAAAGAAAGGTGAAGAGAGTGGTGAGAGAGTGCAAAAGGAGAGCGGATGATAGAGTGGGAGAGATACCGTCAAGGAATTTTAATGAAAATAAGAAAAAATTTTGGAGTGAGTTAAACAAGTTAAGAAAGCCTAGGGAACAAATGGATTTATCAGTTAAAAACAGAGTAGGGGAGTTAGTAGATAGGGAGATGGAGGTATTGGGTAGATGGCGAGAATATTTTGAGGAACTTTTAAATGTCGACGAAGAAAGGGAGGCGGTAATTTCATGCACTGGCCAGGGAGGTATATTATCTTTTAGGAGTGAAGAAGAGCAGGATGTGAGTGTGGGGGAGGTGCATGAGGCATTACGTAGAATGAAAGGGGGTAAAGCAGCTGGAACTGATGGGATCATGACAGAAATGCTAAAAGCAGGGGGGGACATAGTGTTGGAGTAGTTGGTATTTTTGTTTAATAAATGTATGAAAGAGGGGAAGGTACCTAGGGATTGGCAGAGAGCGTGTATAGTCCCTTTATATAAAGGGAAGGGGGACAAGAGAGACTGTAAAAATTATAGAGGAATAAGTTTACTGAGTATACCAGGAAAAGTGTATGGTAGGGTTATTACTGAAAGAATTATAGGTAAGACAGAATGTAGAATTGCGGAAGAGCAAGGAGGTTTTAGAGTGGGTAGGGGATGTGTAGATCAAGTGTTTACATTGAAGCATACAGTGGACCCCCACTTAACGATCACCTCCAAATGCGACCAATTATGTAAGTGTATTTATGTAAGTGCGTTTGTACGTGTATGTTTGGGGGTCTGAAATGAACTAATCTACTTCACAATATTCCTTATGGGAAAAAATTCGGTCAGTACTGGCACCTGAACATACTACTGGAATGAAAAAAGTTCGTTAACCGGGGGTCCACTGTATATGTGAGCAGTATTTAGATAAAGGTAGGGAAGTTTTTATTGCATTTATGGATTTAGAAAAGGCATATGATAGAGTGGATAGGGAAGCAATGTGGCAGATGCTGCAAGTATATGGAATAGGTGGTAAGTTACTAAATGCTGTAAAGAGTTTTTATGAGAATAGTGAGGCTCAGGTTAGGGTGTGTAGAAGAGAGGGAGACTACTTCCCGGTAAAAGTAGGTCTTAGACAGGGATGTGTAATGTCACCATGGTTGTTTAATATATTTATAGATGGGGTTGTAAAAGAAGTAAATGCTAGGGTGTCCAGGAGAGGGGTGGGATTAAATTATGGGGAATTAAATACAAAATGGGAAGTGACACAGTTACTTTTTGCTGATGATACTGCGCTTATGGGAGATTCTAAAGAAAAATTACGAAGGTTAGTGGACGAATTTGGGAATGTGTGTAAAGGTAGAAAGTTGAAAGTGAACATAGAAAAGAGTAAGGTGATGAGAGTATCAAATGATTTAGATAAAGAAAAATTGGATATCAAGTTGGGGAGGAGGAGTATGGAAGAAGTGAATGTTTTCAGATATTTGGGAGTCGACGTGTCAACGCATGGATTTATGAAGGATGAGGTTAATCATAGAATTGATGAGGGAAAAAAAGGCGAGTGGTGCATTGAGGTATATGTGGAGACAAAAAATGTTATCTATGGAGGCAAAGAAGGGAATGTATGAAAGTATAGTAGTACCAACACTCTTATATGGGTGTGAAGCTTGGGTTGTAAATGCTGCAGTGGGGAGGCAGTTGGAGGCAGTGGAGATGTCCTGTCTAAGAGCAATGTGTGGTGTAAATATTGTGCAGAAAATTCGGAAAAGGTGTGGAGTTAATAAAAGTATTAGTCAGAGGGCTGAAGAAAGTTTGTTGAGGTGGTTTGGTCATTTAGAGAGAATGGATCAAAGTAGAATGACATGGAGAGCATATAAATCTGTAGGGGAAGGAAAGCAGGGTAGGAGTCATCCTCGAAAAGGTTGAAGGTTGGAGGGAGGAGGTAAAGGAAGTGTTGTGGGCGAGGGGTTTGGACTTCCAGCAAGCGTGCGTGAGCGTGTTAGATAGGAGTGAATGGAGACAAATGGTATTTGGGACCTGACGATCTGTTGGAGTGTGAGCAGGGTAATATTTAGTGAAGGGATTCAGGGAAACTGGTTATTTTATATAACCGGACTTGAGTCCTGGAAATGGGAAGTACAATGCCTGTACTCTAAAGGAGGGGTTTGGAATATTGGCAGCTTGGAGGGATATATTGTGTATTTTTATACATATATACTTCTAAACTGTTGTATTCTGGGCACCTCTGCAAAAACAGTGCTTATGTGTGAGTGAGGTGAAAGTGTTGAATGATGATGAAAGTATTTTCTTTTTGGGGATTTTCTTTCTCTTTGGGGTCACCCTGCCTCGGTGGGAGACGGCCGACTTGTTAAAAAAAAAAAAAAAAAAAAAAAAAAAATGTATGTGTGGTGACCTAAGTGTAAGTAGAAGTAGCAAGACGTATCTGAAATCTTGCATGTTTATGAGACGGAAAAAAAAGGACACCAGCAATCCTACCATCATGTAAAACAATTACAGGCTTTCGTTTTGCACTCACTTGGCAGGACGGTAGTACCTCCCTGGGCGGTTGCTGTCTACCAACCTACTACCTAGAACCCCAAGTAAATACTCCATGGAAATCAAATGACCCAAACATTGAACCAACAAACTTGAAATCATCAAAAAGGCTCTAACCTCAACAGCTTCAAAAATCATTGTCAAAAAACACATTCTGAACCTGATTTACAGTAATATTTTAAAATGTAATGATTATACAGGATTAGGTCAACAGTACAGTGGATCCCCGGTTTACGATATTTTTTTCATTCCAGAAGTATGTTCAGGTGCCAGTACTGAACGAATTTGTTCCCATAAGGAATATTGTGAATTAGATTAGTCCATTTCAGAACCCCCAAACATACACGTACAAACGCACTTACATAAATACACTTACATAATTGGTCGCATTGGGAGGTGATCGTAAAGCGGGGGTCCACTCTATTTTGCACCACTAGCTTATTTAATTACACTCTCTCCATTTTAATAAAAACTACTTCATTTTTTTTTTAACATGTTGGCCATATCCAACTGAGACAGGGTGACCCAAAACAGAAAGGAATACCTTCACCATTGTTCAACACTTTCACCATTATTCACACACACAAATTAAATCATTCATAAGTATCAGTACTAGTTCCAGTTTGCCTGAAATGCATAACAAGGGGCTTCCTAAAGAATACAGAAAGAGCTGAATCAACATGCTGTAATTCTTGGAAATTAAGTTTGACTCTGACTTGAGAAAGCTGCATTTTAATTCAACTGTTTCCTGGACATTATTCAGTGCTTGCTACATGGAACCGAAGGGTCAAAAAAAAAAAAAAAAAAGACATTTCTTCAATTAAGTCCCACAAGTTCCTGAAGAACATCTCTAGGGCACTGTCAGTAATGGTTTTCTTGGCAGTGATATCTATGCAATTTGTCTAAACAAATTAAATATTATTCAGAAAGTAGTGGACAACAAAAAATCAAAGCATACATCACTAAGGTTTGACATTTGATCCATCAGTTTCTTTTGATAAGAAATAGCCACGCAGGAAGTGCTTTACGATGTCCTAGGTACAGATGTCCCACTCAAGAGAATCAAGAAAATGATAGGATGGATAATGAGAACCTTCCAAACTAGGGATGCCAAGCCCATGATGGTTCTCTTCAAATTGCTTTTCTCTCTAGGCTGGAATACTGCTGTATGCTAATGGCTCCTTTCAAGGCAAATGAAATTGCAGACCTGGAGAATGTACGGAGAACTTTCACGGCACGCATAAATACGATAAAGCACCTAAACTACTGTAAACAGTTGAAATCCCTTGATTTGTATTCCCTGGAATGCAGGTGAGAAAGATACCTGATAATACACACTTGGAAAATCACTCCTATAAAAGCAAAAGACTGGGCAGGAGATGCAACATCCCCCCAATGAAAATCAGGGGCACCACAAGTACATTAGGAGACAACACAGTAAGTGTCAGGGAGCCCAAGATTGTTCAACTGCCTCCCAGCATACATAAGGGGGATTACTAACAGAACCCTGGCTGTCTTCAAGAAAGCACTGCACAGGCACCTGAAGTCAGTACCTAATCAGCCAGGCTGTGGTTCGTATGTCAGTCTGTGTGTGGTCAGCAGTAACAGCCTGGCTGATTAGACCCTGATCCACCAGGAGGCCTGGTCACAGACCTGGCCATGGGGGCGTTGATTCCCAAAACCCTCTCCAGGTATACACAGCACTTTTGCCTTGCAACATAATTGGTGCTTTTACAGTGCATTAGGCTTTTAGAATGTCTCCCACAGCAAGAATCCTGATGTGTGATGTGTAACCGGAATAAAACAATTTTTGTAACTCACGAAGAGTGGAAATTAATAATATTAAGCATTACTTCTCATTTTCATTTACAGTAAGTTTTGGTCAGCCTGGTTGATCAGGCTCTGATCCACCAGGAGGCCTGGTCACAGACCAGGCCGCGGGGGCGTTGACCCCCGGAACTCTCTCCAGGTAAACTCCAGGATCTCAAACTTAAGACTAGGTTTACTGTGGGGCTGTGGATACCTCTCATTAGTATAATACCTTTTTCAGTCACACAGAAATTGAAACATATCTAGCTTCAATTGTGGTTAGTGCAGCAAATAAATCTGTCCATATTTGTCCTAACAACTTATCATGCCTTACCTCAAGAGTATGTATAAGCAATGGCCCAGAAGCTCCAACATCAGCTACTGCATCCTGCTCATCAATACTACTTCGTTCTTGCATCATCGCCATGATTTCTATTAAATAAAAAAACTATGTAGTAAAGTGCAAAGAAAAATTGCAATACAATGTACTGTATATGGGTTGACTGCACTAGTTAATCAGAGCATATATATATATCTAGTCCTAGTCATTTTGTAAATCTACTTATACTATTTTATTTAATAATCTCAACAAAAAAATTCATCATTGTAAATCCTTAAAAGACAAGCTGAATTAAATGGAGCAAAATTAAATTAAATTAAATTCTACATAATGAAAATGAGAGAAAGCAAGAGCAGCCCACATACGGAATGTAGAATGTGACAAAATGCAAAAGTTCATATAAGAAGTTCATTTATGGAGAAATTACACTTGTGGGGAACCAACAGAGCGATATATTACATGGTAATATGGAAGATTACAGTATTGAGACTGCAAAAGTCCTATCATAGTGATCAGTCCTACACTAGCACTCTTTAAATATGTTTGAGTCCACTCTGACATCACTGAAACATTGAATGTGTTTCTTTACACAGGTTGTCTATGTTCCCCATCAGTAAAATGGGTACCGGGGTGTTAGTCGACTGGTGTGGGTCGCATCCTGGGACAATACCGACCAAATTTGCTCGAAATGCTCTGCATAACAAACGGCTTTCTATATAGTAGTATATCACTGATCTCAGCTAGGACTGTATACCTTATACATGTACAGTACTTGTAGAAATAAAGATATTATTATATTTACAACCTTAATAAACAGTAAATAGTTTGTTAATGAAAGGATTTACTTTTTGTGAGAAGTAATGCATTTTATATTGAATTTGTAAATGTTACTAACATTTCTTTAAAGGTGATCTGCTTATAGTTCTTTGTATTTTTTGTACTACAGTATTTTATATTTTGTGCTACATTAGTCTGAAGGTTCCAGGAGGCAAGATGTAATGAGGACAAGTTCCCAGGAAGAGAATTGTGGAATTCTTTTTTACTATTAGCTAAAGAAATATGCTTTGTCAGTGCTATTATATCTGCATTTTTATAGTTTGTGTTAGTTTTAGTAGGAGTGTGTTAGGTCAGATTTAAGTTAAAATTTGACCAGTAAACCACTTTTATATTTTACAGTTTTTGTATAGGAATGCTTTCTGTGGCTTTTTTTTTTGTGGTACAGTGTATAACAAGTCACTAATTCACTAATTATAGTGGCATCAGCAAACATCAGTTATTAAATGTTAGACAGCAGAAATTTAGTTATATTCAGACATTGCAGATAATTTAAAACTTTGACAAGCATTTTATATAGTAAATTATGCAGAATTTAACTTGGGTGAGTTTATTCAGGTAAAGGTGCACATAACTATAGTTATATAAATTGTCACACAGCAGGATATGTGAAGATTACCTAGGATATCCCCCCCCCCCCAAAAAAAAAGTCAGAAAGTTACTTATTTCCATTGGGAATTAAGTAAGTAAGTAAGTTTATTCAGGTATACACAAATACAGTTACATAGAATTATCATACATAGCAGCATATGTGTAGAGAACCTAGGATAACCCAAAAAAGTCAGACAGAGTGACTTATTTCCATTGGGGTAAACTAAGGAAGTAAAACCAGTGCTACTTAGGCCCACTATTATTATAATCAAGGGGGAAGCGCTAAACCCGGAGGATTATACAGCGCCTGGGGGGGGATGTGGAAGGCATTCAGGCTTAATTCGGGGAACTGGAGCACAGATCCAATTCCCTAAATCAAGAGCCCCTCACCAACATCAAGGAACCTTCCTTGAGGGGTTAGGCCCACTAAAGTAAACAATATTGCCATTGCAAAAATTACAATTAATACAACTTTCAAGGCAGCAAAATACAAATAATATCAATGCTTCAACAATATATAGATATTAAAAATTACGTGAGGGTTCAAAATACCTTCTTGAAGTACACCCTTAAAGAAAGCATACAGTTTTCCCGCTTGATATTATTATAATATTCGTGAAGACGTTCTAAACCCGTAGGGGTTATACAGCACTTTCTAATTACAAAATGAGATTAGAAATATACTTGATGAAGTATGCTTCTATAAATAAATAAATAAATAAATAAAAAAATAAAAAAAAAATTATATTGTGAATAAGGTGGTTGTTGTAGATTGTTAAGGTCCATCAAAGCTTGCGCCTTTTAAGTCCAGGAAAAAATATTGGTCAATGCCTAAATCTAAGCTGGAATTGAAGACGCAAATTACAGCCAAAAATAGAAACAATAAGTTCCCAAACGGGTCAAGTGGACCCCTAACCTAAACCCAGGCATCAAACATCTTTCATTGTTCAGCAATAAATGAGTGGAACGGATTATCTGAACTTGTCAAAGCCAATCTTAGCATGAGCTAGTTCAGGAAAGTATCTAATGAATGAAGCTACAGAAAGGGAAGACAGTGATTTCTTATATAGTTAACATTCGTGTACCTATTTATGTAAGATGATCCTCTCTCTGTTATTGTAAACAGCTTAGTTTACTTTATTCCTGTTAGGTAAAAGGACACAAGTGCAACTAATGTGACATTATATTATGGCAACACTTCGCTCTGCAGGAGCTTTATCAAGCCGATACTTTATTCCTATTATATCTCCTTTCATTGTGACTGATTCTCACACAATTGAGTTACGTAGCTGTTTTAACTTTTATGGTTATAATCATGATTGATTTCTACTACAACTTACTGCTACCTAGGTTTTAAATACGATATTACAAGGACCCCAATGGAAATAACACTGATTTTTTTTTTTTGGGGGGGGGAGGGGGGGGAGTTATCGTAGGTAATTTACATACCTCACTTTTTGACCCTTAAAATACTACTCAATAACTAATGTCTAGTTCTTAAGCAGTCTAAGCATTAGGCTTAGTCTGCTCGAAATGCACCACATACTAGTGACTTTCCTTTGTGCTTTAAATATAATATAATGTCATACTACTATATAATGTCAATGGCATACTACTATATAGAAAGTCGCTTTTTATGCTAAGCATTTCGGGCCAATTAGGTCAATTTTGTCCCAGGATGCGACCCACACCAATCGACTAACACCCAGGTACCCATTTCATACTGATAGGTGAACATGGACAGCAGGTGTGTTATGGAATGACGTCCTAATGTTTTCCAGCCGTACCGGGGATTCGATCTCGGAGTCATAAGAACATAAGAACATAAGAACGAAGGAACACTGCAGAAGGCCTACTGGCCCATGCGAGGCAGGTCCAAGTCTCCTACCGGCTTAAGCCAAAGCACCCAACCTAGTCAGGTCAGGTCACATTGACTTAAGGGAGGAACACGGCAACCGACCTGTTAGCACAAGCTATCAGGTCTAACTCACACCCACCCACATCTACTCATGTATTTATCCAACCTATTTTTAAAGCTACACAACGTTCTGGCCTCTATAACGGTACTTGGGAGTTTGTTCCACTCATCCACAACTCTATTACCAAACCAGTACTTTCCTATATCCTTCCTGAATCTGAATTTTTCCAACTTAAAACCATTGCTGCGAGTCCTGTCTAGGCTAGATATTTTCAGCACACTATTTACATCCCCTTTATTTATTCCTGTCTTCCATTTATACACCTCAATCATATCCCCCCTAATTCTACGTCTTTCTAGAGAGTGCAGTTTCAGGGCCCTTAGTCTATCCTCATAGGGAAGGTTTCTGATACATGGGATCATCTTTGTCATCCTCCTTTGTACATTTTCCAGAGAATTTATATCCATTCTGTAATACGGTGACCAAAACTGTGCAGCATAATCTAAATGAGGCCTAACCAAGGATGTATAGAGTTGAAGAACAACCTGAGGACTCCTATTATTTATGCTTCTTGATATGAAGCCAAGGATTCTATTAGCTTTATTGCGAACACTTATGCACTGTTGTCTTGGTTTCAGATTACTGCTAACCAGAACTCCTAAATCTTTTTCGCAATCCGTAATATTAAGATCTACATTATTTAGTTTATATGTGGCATGGTTATTGTCCTGTCCAACATTTAGAACTTTGCATTTGTCTATATTAAACTGCATCTGCCACTTCTCCGACCACTGCATCAGTCTATTCAAATCTTCCTGGAGTGCTCGAATGTCCTCGTCAGAATGAATTCGACGGCCTATTTTGGTGTCATCGGCAAACTTGCCGATGTCGCTCTTTATGCCCTCATCTATGTCGTTTATGTAGATTGTGAACAGCAGGGGGCCCAACACTGACCCCTGTGGAACACCGCTCGTGACGCTTCCCCACTCTGATTTCTCCCCATTTATGCAAACTCTCTGCTGCCTATTTGTCAACCATGCCTCTATCCAGGAAAAAATTTCTCCTCCTATTCCATGTGCTTTAATTTTCCTCAATAGTCTCTGATGTGGGACCCTGTCAAAAGCCTTACTGAAGTCCATATACACAATATCATATTCATTACCATCACAATATCATATTCATTACCAACACAATATCATATTCATTACCAACACAATATCATATTCATTACCTGTGTGTGAGTTTAGCGTGCTAGCAATCGAGCTACTTTCTTAAACCTGAGTCGTCAACAGGCTGTCCGCAAGCCTGGAGAGAGTTGATATAAGGACACAGTAAGGCAAGCCAGCGGAAGGCCTCGGTCAGATGACCAAAAACTCTAGCTGCAGCTAAAACCCACGTCAGGAAATACTTTTCCTGTTTCCTGACAAACCTTGCTTAACCTAACCTAAGGCCGCACTTCCTAATTTCGGCCAACTCTTTTATTTTTCAACCAATTTTTTTTATTTTGGGTGTACATTTAGAGGTTCATATGTAGAAGAATGTGACAAAGTTTCAGTATGATTGGCCAACAAACAACAGAGAAAAAAAATATTTTAGTGACTTCATATATGGCAGCAAAGTATGACAAAATGGCACTTCGAGTGGCACTTCCGACAATCCCAACCGTTAGAATACATCTGACACTAATTTGGGATGCACATGTTTCATCTAATATATCTTATTATCATGGAAAAAAAAATACATTTGATGGACTTTTTTGCATTCACCAAAATATCTGCCTTTTACCTCCCACAAAATCAAAAATATTTGATATATTCCAAAAAAAGAATCATCACATTTTCAAACACTGTTTTATATTGTCAGTGAAAATCATTTCAATACAATCATTAATAATGGTGTACTTTAGCGAAATATGTGAAAAAGTTACTTCCGAGATATAGGCCTAGAAAACGTCGGCAGGCCTACCGTCTCAAAATTTTTTTTTTTTTTGCGCGGAAATGGCGTTTTTTTCGGTGTATTTCTTAGTAAACTGATGTTCTAGTGCAGTTATCCTCTTCAAAACACCGTTTTCTATCACTCATATACCAAACAATACAACTAGGAGACGAGGAGTAACATATTTATATCGAAATATTGCTGGTGGACTCTCGCTATATTATGGCCTATTTTATTCAGTCTAGAGTATATAACATGTTTGTTTGTTATTTATAGTGTTTATTATATCATATTAGATCAATTCTGATAGATAAATAAGCCGTATAGTTGATATATAAGCTGATATAAACGTAATAATGAAGAGATTTCACCTGGCACCATCTGGAGGGGGAGCATTGCCGAGTGTACCCAGGTGCTTCCTGATAGGCTAGACGTCTATTGATAAGCTCCACTTACTCTTATATGATGCCAAATAATCAATTATTATATTAGAAAGAATAATGCAAAGAAAAAGCAATAAAAAACAAGGAAAAAAATCCAAAAAATACATGGGTTGAGAACAGACGCGCTACCTACATCGTCGTTACCATACCTGATATAAATGACTATAATTTCTTGTAGAAACGTCTTAGAACATTGATTCTTGTACCATTGTGTTGCCAAAGAGTTAAGCTATTTTTCGGTATATATAACTCAATTTCCATAATTTTTCGATTTTTGGTTGAGCGCGCGGAAAATTGCCCAGATTCTACCCTAAGCACCCTGGTCAGTTACCCCGAGGGCATCACGATGATCAGAACACACCCCCAAGGGATTAAAAAAATGGAAAAATCAAAATCGTCACTGGTGGTCAAGGCAGGGGTAAAGGGCGACGTCCATAGGTCAGCGCAGTTCTGAGGTCAGGTGGAGTGGCAGACCTCAAGGTCTAAAACACTAACAGCAGAGCCGGATGCCCCACTCTGAGTCAATATTGTTTTCATTTCTTAAACAGTCATTATTCCTAGCAACGTAATTGAACTATATGTAATAATTCTTTGCTCAACAGGTATGATCTCACAAATGATTGGTTAACACAAGATTGACATGAGAGTACACAGTATTTACCTTGTTATTTAAACAAGCTGGAAGACTGAGGTAAACATGTTTACCAGTGAACAACACATGAAGCAATGGAGAGAAATGATACAAAATATCGACACCATGGACTATAATGAAAGCCTTTGTTAACAACGTTTCGCCCACGCAGTGGGGCTTTTTTCAAGTCACTGAAAAGCCCACTACGTGAGCAAAACTTTGTCAATGAAGGATAAGATTATATATTGCATTTGTCTTTACACGAGGTAATAGGCAGTATTTGCTCTCACTGCCATCTATTGAATCTCAGCCACTTCTTAACAGCAAGCTTACAATATAGTAGGTTTTAAGAACAGTTTCTTCTTATGGTATTTGGGCCATGCGATGTTATAAGCACTTATTTTTTTATTACATTCACGGAGGAGAGCAAAACCCGTAGGGGATCATAGGCTCATAAAAATCCATTGTGGATTTAACCTTTTCTAACTTCCTTCTCGACTTACTTTACATAATTCTGCTTACCCAGGGTATCAAAAAAAAAAAAAAAAAAAAAAAAAAAAAAAAAAAAAAATGGTTATAAATGACCATAATTTTTAAAGGGGTGGACCGGTAAGCCAGCGGAAGGCCTCGGTCAGATGACCAAAAGCTCCAAAGGCGGGTCATCATCTGACTAAGACCCGCGTCAGGAAACATTTGTCCTGTTTCCTGACGAACCTTACCTAACCTAACCTAGGGTATCAAAACTTTGGGGCCCGTCCCTGGACCCATTGTATACCTACATGATATGTATGGGGTACATAACAAAGATATTAAACTCACAAAACTAGGATAACCCGGTAAGTCAAATATTGTAACTTTATGCTAGAATACAAACACAAGTCTTTTTTTTTATTTTTCTTTATTCAAGTTTCATTTATACAATGGACTTGGAATTTATGTAGAAACTGGTCCAGGATAACAAAGTCAAACAATGTTACTTATTTCCGTAGTTGGTTTGTTTTCATTTCCTTATTTCACACATAACAGTTTATTTTGCAATGATCTTTAAGAAACACATCTTATTGGCACATACGTAGTTAGGTTGGTACTTGACAGTGCACTTAGCTTACATATTTAGTGTCCGTGGTTCGATCTCCGGTACGTGTGAAAACATTTGGGCATGTTTCCTTGCACCTGCTGTCCCTGTTCACCTATCAGTAAATAAGTGTTAGTCACCTTACACCTGCTGTCCCTGTTCACCTAACAGTAAATAGGTACCTGAGTGTTAGTCGACTGGTATGGGTCGCATCCTGGGGACAAAATTAACCTTCAAACAAACAAACAAATTTTATTTCTTTGCAAGATTACATTGAAATTATGAAATTACAATAATGAGTTGCAGTACAAAGAGCCACTATCATGCCTAGGTATTATGGGCAGACTTAATTTAATGCCTTACAGACTCCTTAATACTAAAGAAATTGATCATAGTTTGTTTAAATTGTACATCTTTTTGTGTTTATAGTAGACAGTAATTTTACTCTAATTACAATAGTTTCAATAATGAATATTGAAATTATATTATGGGAATATAACATTGTGAGTTGTTGAAAGTAGTTTACAGTATGAGAATGCTACAATTGGGTGTAAGGCAGTATTGTTTTGGGTAGGTATTTATACTACAATTTAGTATTAAGAATGTATGAACTTTGGGCATCTAGATTTGAAGTTTTAAGATTTAGGTAATTGGGAGATTTTTGGTAAAGTTAAATATTGAGTATTTAGTTTAGGGTGAGTAAGTGGTTTTTGAGAAAACCTAAAATTGGTGTTCAGACCTGGTTACTTTAGTATTTACTGGTAATTAATTCCAAATTTTGGGGCCTTTTATGTGCAAAGAGTTTTTACACAATGAGATATGGACACGGGGTACATCAAAAAGAGATCTGTCTTGTGTTATGGTCATGTGTCCTGTTAAGGTTGGTGAGAAGTTTGAGTGGAGGGTTTATGTTTGAGCGTATTGTTCTATGTATGTAGTAGGCACATGAATAAGTATGGATGTTCTTAACGGTGAGCAGTTTTAGACTTTTGAATATTGGTGGGGTATGCTGTCGGGAGTAGGAATTTGTTACCATTCTGACTGCAGCCTTTTGCTGGGTTATTAGTGGTCTTAGATCATTTAATGTTGTTGATCCCCATGCACAAATTCCATTTGTGAGAAAAGGGTAGATGAGTGAATGATACAGTGCAAGGAGAGCTGATTGTGGAACATAGATTACAGTATCTTTGATAGTATGCCTACTGTCTTAGAGATTTTCTTAGAAATTAGTTGTTTGTGTGTCTGGAATTTGAGGCTACTGTCAAGGTGGTTTCCTAGGAATTTTCCCTCTGTGAGTTTTGTGATGGGATATCCGTTTAGCGTTATGTTAAGTGGAACATTTGCAGCTCTGTTTCCAAACTGCATGAAATAGGTTTTGTTAGTATTGAGGGTAAGCTTATTTGTCATCCAGGTAGATATTTTCTGCAATTCGGTATTAACAGTGTTAGCCAGTATGACTGGGTTTGGGTGGGAGAAGACGTATGTTGTGTCATCTGCAAATAATATGGGTTTGAGTAGCTGCGATGCATTCAGTAGGTCATTGATGTAAATGAGAAAGAGGAGTGGGCCAAGGACACTTCCTTGTGGGACACCAACTGTGATTCCTTAAGTGGAAGAGTTTGCACCATTTGTTTTCACATATTGGCTTGTTACTAAGGTATGACTTTAGGTAGTTGAGGGAGTGCCCTCTTATACCATAGTGTGTTAATTTAATGTGCAGCAAATCATAGTCAACTGTATCAAAATCTTTACGTATATTAATGAAGATTCCCAGCGGGACTTTTTTCTTCTCGAGAACAGTGTATATTAGTTCTAGCATGTGTATAATAGCATCATTTGTAGGTTAAATATTGGTCTATAGTTGTGGAAAATTTTTAATTTGGTTCTACTCTATTTTCAAATACATTTTTGACTCATATCGGCACATTAAACACCTATTAGGCGCTATAGTTTCGGAAAATTAAAAATTTTCCACAATAGTTATTCAAGTCGGTTTGATCACCTTTGTGGATCGGGGTAACCCTCGCTGTTTTGAGAATTGCTGGGAAGGTGGGGGATTCGATGGATTTATTAAAGAGTTGCAATAACTGGTGACAGTACGTGAAATGTTTTTTTGTACATAAAAGGTGGTAAGTTATTTATGTTCCCTGCCTTGTTTTTAAGGGTGTTGATGAGCGAAATGCTCTGCATAACCATTGGCTTTCTATATAATATGTCAGAGATGTAAGCTTGGTCTATATAGGTTGTATCATGTACTTGTATTAATAGAGATAAGTAGTTTGGGCCAGCATGGGTCAGACAGCAATTGCTATTTCTAAGAATAGTTCCTACTGTAGTGACGAATTTTTTAAGCTTATTCACAGTATCCGTAGTCGAGAGGGAGAGTAAATAAGTAAACGTAAGCAAATAAGTAAACAAGTAAATTGGCAGTACGTAGTAAAGAAAGAAAGTAAAAGTTTATTTAGGTCCAATTACATAATTTTTAGATGATTACAATTGTCTTATGTGTGTGTTCGTGACATCTGTGTGCCCTTAAAACCACTGTAATAAAATATATAAGATTCATGAAATGCCTAAATAAACACTTAATTGCTAGCATACTTAGTAGTGAACTTTTTTTTTAGATGGGAATTTAGAGCAGCAGCAGCAGCAGCAGCAGTAGTGGCAACATGGCGGAGAGAGGTACTGCCACTCTTCTTGCCTTCGGGGCCATTGTAGGAATTTTGTTGTTATGTGACTTTCTGCCTGTTGATGGCACCGCTAAGGAGTCTCCTAAGATGAAGTTAAACAACTTGATGGGTCCCTCGCTGAGGTTCTTGTACTGGTAAGTGTGTGGTGGTGTGACTGGGTCTTGCAAGTAGTCATGACTCGTCACTACTTTACTCAGCAGTTGTATCTCTCAAGGATGATGCTGAGGGACTCCTTCATTAAATGAATTGGACTTGGGCTCCAATTCCTCGAATCGGGCCTGAATGTTACCTTCCATTCCTCCAGACGCTGTATGACCCCTATGGGTTCAGCGCTCCCCCATGGAATGTCATCATTGTTTTGTAATGACATTGTTGTCCTCTCTGAGGAGGTTCATTGTATCTGGTGAGGGGTTCTTCATCCAGGAAATTGAACCTGGCTTCCCTAGGCTCGAACCTAATTACGTCACATTACCCCAACCCCTCCCACTTGCTGTATAATCCTTACAGGATTAACTCAACCCCTCATGAATATAATAATAATGGTATTACGTAACTTAATTACTAAATGAGTAGGTTACTAAGACTTGTAAGCAGCTCTATATGAGCAATTTTTTTTTTTTTACATATGCTTATCTTGCCAAATTAAACATCTTTATTTGTATTATATATTTTTTACTTTGTCTTTTGGCATAATAACCTCCTTAGCTCGCACACTAAGGATTGGCACTTCTGTCCTTGGCACAGGTGGATACAGTCATGTTTCCTTGTACAGTGGAACCTCGAGTTTTGGCCGTAATCCGTTCCAGAAGCTCGGACAAAACTCAAATTGTTTGAAAGTCAAAGCAATATTTCCCATAAGAAATAATGTAAATCCAGTTATGTACACTGTAATCCATTCGACACCCAAAAATATTTAAAAAAAAAAAGATACATTTTTTAAAGAATAACTAACAATAGTTTTACAAACTCAAAACAATTATAAATACATAAAGTACTTAAATGACTAATGAAATAGATAAATAAACATTTAAAATCACATTTACATACTTTTATTGAAGACTTGTTGATGTATGGAAGACAGAGGAGAGGAGGAGGACTTATTATTGCTTGGAAGGGGAATCCCCCTCCAAAAGGATCTAAGGTATCAAGTTCCTATCTGGGGTTACTTCCCTTCTTTGTTTTCTAATGGCACTAGTGATAACACCAGGAGGCAGCTCTGATGAAAACACACACACACATGAGCTTTTAAATCTCTGCACAAAATTCAACTTAAACCAGCAAATAATAGAGCCTACTAGACTGGAGAATACACTAGACCTCATCTTCACTAACAATGGTGATCTGATACGAAATGTCACCATATCAAAAACAGTATACTCAGATCACAACATAATTGAGGTTCAGACATGTATGCGCGGAGCCCCAGACCAGCATAATGAGATTAGTCACGAGGGAGCCTTCACCAAATTCAACTTCAATAACAAGAAACATTAAGTGGGACCAAGTAAACCAAGTCCTAACCGATATAAGCTGGGAAGATATACTAAGCAACACAGACCCCAACTTATGCCTAGAACAGATTAACTCGGTGGCACTCGATGTATGCTCAAGGCTTATTCCTTTAAGAAAAAGGAGGAGTAGATGTAAAATAGAAAGAGACAGGTGCTCCCTTTACAGGCGACGAAAAAGAATAACGGAGCGGCTAAAAGAGGCCAATATATCTGAAATGCGTAGGGAGTCACTGGTCAGAGAAATAGCAAACATCGAACTTGAGCTAAAGGAATCATATAGGAGTCAGGAATCGTGGGAAGAACTAAAAGCCATAAATGAAATTGAAAGAAACCCAAAGTATATTTTTTCCTATGCCAAATCAAAGTCAAGAACAACGTTCAGTATTGGGCCCCTACTTAAACAAGATGGGTCCTACACAGATGACAGCAAGGAAATGAGTGAGCTACTCAAGTCCCAATATGACTCAGCTTTTAGCAAGCCGCTAACCAGACTGAGAGTCGAAGATCAAAATGAATTTTTTATGAGAGCGCCACAGAATTTGGTTAACACAAGCCTATCTGCTGTTATCCTGATGCCAAATGACTTCGAACAGGCGATAAATGACATGCCCATGCACTCTGCCCCAGGGCCAGACTCGTGGAACTCCGTGTTCATCAAGAACTGCAAGAAGCCCCTATCACGAGCTTTTACCATCCTATGGAGAGGGAGCATGGACACGGGGGTCGTCCCACAGTTACTAAAAACAACAGACATAGCCCCACTCCACAAAGGGAGCAGTAAAGCAATAGCAAAGAACTACAGACCGATAGCACTAACATCCCATATAAAAATCTTTGAAAGGGGCCCTAAGAAGCAAGATCGCCACCCATCTAGAAACCTATCAATTACACAACCCAGGGTAACATGAGTTTAGAGCAGGTCGCTCCTGTCTGTCTCAACTATCGGATCACTACAACAAGGTCCTAGATGCACTAGAAGACAAAGAGAATACAGATGTAATATATAGAAACTTTGCAAAAGCCTTCGACAAGTGTGACCATGGCGTAATAGCGCACAAAATGCATGCTAAAGGAATAACAGGAAAAGTTGGTAGATGGATCTGTAATTTCCTCACAAACAGAACACAAATAGTAGTAGTCAACAGAGTAAAGTCCAAGGCAGCTACAGTGAAAAGCTCTGTTCCACAAGGCACAGTACTCGCTCCCATCTTGTTTCTCATCCTCATATCTGACATAGACAAGGATGTCAGCCACAGCACCGTGTCTTCCTTTGCAGATGACACCCGAATCTGCATGACAGTGTCTTCCATTGCAGACACTGCAAGGCTTCAGGCAGACATCAACCAAATCTTTCAATGGGCTGCAGAAAATATGAAGTTCAACGATGAGAAATTTCAATTACTCCGATATGGTAAACACGAGGAAATTAAAACTTCATCAGAGTACAAAACAAATTCCGGCCACAAAATAGTGAAAAACCAACGTCAAAGACCTGGGAGTGATCATGTCGGAGGATCTCACCTTCAAGGACCATAACATTGTATCAATCGCAGCTGCTAGAAAAATGACAGGATGGATAATGAGAACCTTCAAAACTAGGGATGCCAAGCCCATGATGACACTCTTCAAGTTGCTTGTTCTATCTAGGCTGGAATATTGCTGTACACTAACAGCACCTTTCAAGGCAGGTGAAATTGCTGACCTAGAAAATGTACAGAGAACCTTCACGGCGCGCATAACGGAGATAAAACACCTCAATTACTGGGAGCGCTTGAAGTTCCTGAACCTGTATTCCCTGGAACGCAGGCAGGAGAGATACATGATTATATACACCTGGAAAATCCTAGAGGGACTAGTACCGAACTTGCACACGAAAATCACTCCCTGTGAAAGCAAAAGACTTGGCAGACGATGCAACATCCCCCCAATGAAAAGGAGGGGTGTCACTAGCACGTTAAGAGACAATACAATAAGTGTCAGGGGTCTGAGACTGATCAACTGCCTCCCAGCATACATAAGGGGGATTACCAATAGACCCCTGGCAGTCTTCAAGCTGGCACTGGACAAGCACCTAAAGTCGGTACCTGACCAGCCGGGCTGTGGCTCGTACGTTGGATTGCGTGCAACCAGCAGTAACAGCCTGGTTGATCAGGCTCTGATCCACCAGGAGGCCTGGTCACAGACCGGGCCACGGGGGCATTGACCCCCGGAACTCTCTCCAGGTAAACTCCAGGTCTCCAGGACCAGCTTGAGTCACTGGACCCCCTGTCACACAAAAAAAAAAAATGTCCAGAGAGGTCTGTTTCTGGCATCTCTTTAGCATTTGTCTGAAATGGGACATGGTTTTGTCACTGAACATGTTGCAGAGATGGCTTGTTTCAGCTTGCTCAGGGTGATATTTCTCAGCAAAAGCTTGCACCCTACTCCACATTGCACAAATATTAATCTATGAAGAAGACACCTCCTTCTCTGAAGCAAGTTCCTCAGCTGTGGTCTGTTGCTGTTCCAGATGAAGGTTTTGCAGCTGGTTAACTCTTCCCTGTGGTCCTCCACCAACTCTTCCACATCCTGGCCACTTGCCTCCAACTCCATGGACATCCCCAAAGACACACTAGATTACACAACAGGCATAGGGTCAACAGGGTCAGCCTCAAACCCTTCAAAATCCTTCTCTAGGACACCATCTGGCCACAGTTTTCTCCAAGCAGATTTCAAAGTCCTGGAAGTCACTCCCTGCCAAGCCTTACCTATAAGGCTTATGCAGTTGTAGATACTGAAGTGATTCCTCCAGAACTCTCTCAGGGTCAGTTAAGTGCCAGAGGTCACTTCAAAGCACCTTGGAAACACTGCTTTTGTGTAAAAGTTTTTTTGAAGTTTGAAATGACCTGCTGGTCCATGGGCTGGATGAGAGGAGTGGTGTTAGGAGGCAAGAACTTCACTGTTATAAAACTGAAGTCCATAGATAACTGGTCTACCAAGTTTGGAGGATGAGCAGGAGCATTGTCCAGTACCAGGAGGCACTTGAGTGGCAATTTATTTTCCTGGAGGTATTTTTTCACACTCAGGCCAAACACTTCATGGACCCAGTCAATGAAAATTTGCCTTGTGACCCATGCCTTATTGTTAGCCCTCCATATCACACATAATCTACTCTTGACGACATTGTTTTTCTTGAACACACTGGGATTTTCAGAGTGATAACACCAGTAAAAGCTTCACTTTGAAATCCCTACTAGCATTAGCACAGAACAAAAGAGTTAGCCTATCCTTCATAGGCTTGTGTCCTGGTAGTGCCTTTTCCTCCTGCATGATGTAGGTCCTCTTTGGCATTTTCTTCCAAAAGAGGCATATTTCATCACAATTGAACACTTGTTGGGGGACGAATCCTTCAACCTTTACATAGTCCTTGAATTCATGCAAAAAAATTTTTCAGCCGTACGTTTGTCTGAACTTGCAGCCTCGCCATGCCTTGCAACACTGTGTATGCCACTAAGCTCTTGAAATTGTCGAAACAACCTCTGCTGGCCTTAAATTCACTAACAGTAGCACTCATTCTAGGCATTTTCTCTATGAGATCCATGTGCAACTGCCTCGCCTTTTCACAAATGATAATCTCCGATACA